AAAGTGCTGCCAAGTATTTTAAACGACACAGTGACGTGGTTAAATATGAACATTTTATGCTTCTTGGCAAATCTAAAAGATCTGTCAAATATGATGCTTCCTACAATAGAAGGTTTTTTGACATGATCGAAATTAGCTTTATATTTTTTTATTTCAAAATATTGTGAATGGAATCGTAGATATAAAAACAAAACTGCTTCAATTGAAACACATATTTAAATGTACACTCCCACAATTCATGACTATTCTTCTTTTTTTAATTGAAAAACTGTGCAACAGTAAGTTTATCTCAGCTGTTATTAATGAGTGGTACTATTTTTTATGATGTACCCATCGAGCAAAAAGATAAAAGAGGGAATCTAATCGTTATGAAAAGGAGACCAAAAAAGTGGCCTCTGATGGCGGACATATCCGGAAATGCAAAGGCGCTAAATTTAAATTTTCCAACACTTATTAACAATAGCTATAAAATATTTTTCAGACGAGAAAGTTTTAATTAAATATTAACTATAATAGTCTAAAAAGTGACACAATTGGTAAAAGATTTCAATATAAATAAAATTTCATGTGACAGTTGGGACAAACAATAACATAACCTAACTAAATTTGACTTCTTAAACAAGGAAAGAGACTGTCTATCCTTGTCTAAAGTGGCCTCTCAAGATGGCACTTCCTGTCTATCAATATGTTTACCCCCACTACCTTTACATTCCCTCTTTTGTCTTATTGCTCGATGGATGTACCGTACCTAGTGATCTAATCTAGATTATGAAGAATTAGTCTTAGAACATCGGTACACAATAGGAGCGAAGGCCCCGTGGCTCATTACTGGTAAACTATGGGCAGGTCGTTCTTAGGCGTGAGAAAGACAAGAAATAATAGATATAAAACAAAAAAAAGAAAACAGGGAAGAATTTACCTCTTTAAAAGAAAAGGGCGCCACTGTGTTTGAATGTTTGAATTCCAAAAAACAGAAATGAGATATTTACAAAATCAAGACAATATGTAAATATCAATAAATAAAATTGAATAAATCAAAATATATTCGACAATATCAATTATCACATCAAATTTATGATAACCATACAAAGTAATCATATTCATTAATCAAATAAAATATTCAAATAAGTATAACACATATCATATATAATAATAAGTATAATACATATAACAAAAGCAAATCTTCCCGTAGTACTGATAAACTCTCCACAAAAATTTTCTTAAATCTTCCAAAAAATGTGTTGGAAGTCCTGGTCTCACTAATTAACGATTTCTTTGGAAAAGGTATATTTCCAGACTGCCTAAAGACAGCCATTATTATTCCTCTTCCTAAGAGTGGTGAAAAATCTAATGTCTGCAACTATAGACCTACTGCCTTACTACCGACCCTATCCAAAATTATTGAGAGGCTTATAAAAGTCCGAGTTATGTCTTTTCTCGTTGAAAACAACATTTTATCACAAAGTCAGTTTCGCTTTTTATCTAATAAATGTACCAGTGATGCTGTTTTCTGTACTACACGAGGTCTATCAAGCACTAAACAATAATCTCTAGAGTGCCACTGTTTTTTGTGACTATGCCAAAGCTTCTGATTTTGTCATCATGACATGTGTCATGTATCATAAAATAAATTTCTATGGAATTCAAGGTATTTCTTTGAATTGGTTCCAATCTTACTTAAGGAATAGGAAACAACTAGTTAGAGCAAATGATAGTGACTTTATATTGTATCTAGAGTAGCGCAAGGTTCAGTACTGGATTCTCTACTTTTCCTTATCTTTATAAATGACATCACTAACTTAAAAATCGATGGAAAAATTTTTCTTTTTGCTGATGATACCGGTATTACTTGGAGGGACTCTTCATTCAATTATAATTTCTTAACTACTTAAAACAAAACCCTGGTCCTACACCAACTTATTCTCTTTTAACGTGGATAAGACAGTAGCGTCATCCTATAAAGGAGCTCTTCAACCATTGCAATTTTAATTGTTATTTTTTTGACTTTTTGTAAGCTTTGTCCATAAAATTGTACAATTTTACAATAAATTTATCAGATATATAATTACAACGTTAGTTAGAAACGCACAACTCAAATTTTGCAAGAAAAATGACACCAAAAGTGAAAAGATTAGCAAAGATACAAGGGCTCTCATGGAAATACGACGAAACCTAAGCGAGAACGAAAAGGGAAACAAAGAAGAATATAAAAAACTAAATAAAAGAATTTCAGCGGAAATTAGAAAAGATATAATACTAATGTAATTACTCAAACAGTAGAAGAGAACAAAGGTTTAAAGATAATGAAAAGAAAACTTACGCAAAGTAAAAAAGAAATATACAAGCTGAGAGATAAAGACGGAAAGGCAACAACAGATAAACAAAATATTCTGAAAATAACTAGAGAATTTTATAAAGACCTCTATACCAGCCAAAGACCACAAGACAATTTCACGACAAGAGTAAAGACTCTCATCAATCAGGTATCGGAAATACTTTTACCCAATACTGGGTCAGCAGTAAGAGCAGCTTTAAAGGAAATGAAGAACCATCGATCGCCTGGTGATGATGGACTCGTTATCGAGGCAATAAAAGCAGGAGGAGAAATTTTATTAAAATCAGAAAGCGACCTGTTTAATAAATGCTTACATGCGCGTACGATTCCAAAAGACTTGAATAATGCAGTAATAGTCTTGTTACACAAAAAAGGCGATATTACTAAATTAGAAAATTATAGACCCATCAGCCTCTTGACACATATGTACAAACTCTTCATGAAAATCTTAACAAAGAGGCTAACACCTAAACTTGATTTCTATAAGCCCAAAGAACAGGCAGGCTTCAGGGCAGGATACGCCACAAAAGCCCATTTGCATACCATAAAGATCTTAATAGAAAAGTGCATCGAGTACAACATACCACTGGTTCTTGCATTTGTCGATTACGAGAAGGCTTTTAATTTTGTAGAGTTTGAAACAATACTGGAAGCCCTAAATCAAAGCTGAATAGATTACAAGTACACGAAACTAATCAAAAACATCTACGAGAACGCTACATCAAGTATACGACTACACGAAGACACAGACAAATTTAGCATAGGTCGAGGAGTTAGACAAGGAGACAATATTTCACCAAAATTGTTCCGGCAGCTCTAGAGTCAATATTTAAGAGCACTCAATGGCAAGATATGGGCATCAATATAGATGGAGAAAGATTAAATCACCTAAGATTTGCTGATGATGTTGTATTAATCGCAGATAACTTACATGATACAGTTTCTATGATGCATTCGCTTAAAAGTCTGTCTGAAAGAGCAGGATTAAAGATAAACTTTGAGAAAACTAAAATTATAACAAATCTCGTAATGAGTGGAAATATAACTATTGACAATAATACCATACATCAAACAGACACTTACAAATATCTGGGACACGAAATCAAAATAAGCAGAGACAATCAAACACATGAAATACAGAGGCGAATAGGTCTAACATGGGCAGCATTTGGCAAATTAAGCCATATTCTAAAAAGCTCAATTCCCATGTGTCTCAAGCGAAAGATTTATAACCAATGTGTTTTACCTGTACAAACTTATGGAGCAAGACTTTAACACTCACGCAAAAATCTGCGAATAAACTTAGAGTTACACAACGAGCCATGGAACGTGCAATGCTGAACGTGAGCCTTCGAGACCACATAACAAACCAACAAATCAGGCGAAGATCAGGAGTTCAAGACGTCATCGAAAGAACCACGACGCTTAAGTGGAACTGGGCAGGGCACTTAGCCAGAACACAAGATGGACGGTGGACAAGACGTATTATGGAATGGAGGCCCAGAAATTATAAAAGAAGCCGAGGACGACCACCGACTAGATAAACCGACGACATTAAACGTGTAGCGGGAAACTGGCTACAAGCGGCCCAGTGTAGAGAACACTGGAAAGAACTGAGGGAGGCCTATGTCCAGCAGTGGACGCGATTGGCTGATTGATGATGATAATTACAACGTAGAAATGTACAATTCTATATCAATAAATTTATCAGATACTATAAAGAAACATGAGAACTACACTAAGTGGAAGCAGGTAATTAAAGAATACATACGCAAAAGCTGAATAAAAAAATTTACTGTGTCGTTAACCCATCCGATTTAAACATGTTTAAAATGAGCTAGTGTGCTAAAATTATTTTTTAACTTAAATATGTAACAAAAAATCATGATAAACTATCAACATATATAACCGGAAATTTAAAATAATAATGTCCGTATCCAGTCTCTCGTATTATTATGTAACTTTTTTAACTTGAAATGACTTCATTTAAAACGGTTGATAATACATAATAATAAAAAGTATGTTGACCATCTGTGTAGTTAACTGTGGAATACATAGGGTCTCCATACTTAGCTGAAAGGAAACTCGATTGACAAACAGAGCAAATACTTGGGATTAACTTCGGATATACACATGGATTATACTTGGACAATCTTTGAACTATACTTGGACTATGCTTGGAACAACATTGAACCCTAATTATATAGAAAAAAATAATGAAAAATTGGTGAAGAAAGCAGAAGATAAAAATATAAAGAAATACGAAAGGTACCAAAAATATCTTACCCTTCGACAGGGGTCTCCGAAATACACACCAGTCGAACTTCGCTACATATTACTCAGAGGAAAATGAATTTAGATCGAAAAAATATTCCTTTTTATAGAGAAATATTCAAAAAATAGATACCGTTAACTTGGTGTGTGGTCAAAATTAAACGGAACTTTTAGGGTAGTATATAACCGGATATTTTTCGGTATTTCAAATAAAATTTAATAAAATAACGAAAATTTTGACAGATGTAACGTATCGGAATTTTTATAAGTTACAATGTATGTTTTGGACAATCGCTCTGTTAAAATATTACTCTGAAGATCTATCTAAGATTATCTAAGAATTTAGAAATAATATCGATTCGATAATGTAACTACGTATATATTTTTTTAGGTCGCTGTGCCCGATGTTGTAGACGCAGCCAAAGACGCCGACGTTCTGATCTTCGTGGTACCCCATCAGTTCATCAGGACGTTATGTGCTACACTTTTAGGAAAAATAAAACCTACTGCAGTAGCATTATCACTTATAAAAGTAAGTATTTTATTCTAAGTTCCTGAATGTACTCCGAAGATGAAATCGACGAACTCCATAACATAACAATATCTACAAGTAAAATAAATGTGTTACTTACGGAAAAGTTACCTTTCATTTGTTTTCTTTTTCTGAGTTGGCTTCTCTATTTACATATTTTTTCTTTTGGGTCATTATTGTTTGATAGTATTTTGCAGGTTTTATGAAAGAAGCTCAACTATTTTAAAATTAGCTTCTTCTTTTATATTTATGACAGAAATTTGTCCTACTATTTTCGAGATATTTCTAACTCAAACAGATAATTTGCTGATATTACACTGGGGTGCAAAATTAACCGGACACTCAAGATTTTCCTAAAAGCTGGCGTTTAAAAAAGTTTAACATGTTCCCAATTGAGTATTTAATAATAAACAAAATTTAAAAGTCAAATTTATTACAACTCAAGAATGCTACACAAAAAAACAATAAACAATTCAAAAAATTTCAAAACATTCAAAGAAACAATAATTATTTTTTTTAATATAAACATTTTTTATGGAAAACGATATTTAGTAGTGTATTACCTCTTACCTCCACGAGCCCTAATTCCGAAGCATACTTCGTATTAAGGCAACAAAGTCTGCTTGAGGGATTTGTTCCCATTCGTCACGAACTGCTTGCTCCAAATCATTCATAGTTTCAAACTCACCACGGTTACGTCGAATATATGTCGTCTCAGAATATTCCATGCATGCTTTATTGGATTTAAGTCTGCACTCCTTGGGGTCATGGTAATAAACGAATCCCAACTTCATTTAAATAATCCCGTGTTATTCTTGCGATGTGCGGACGAGCATTATCTTGCATCAAACGAAAGTTTTTTCTAACAAATGGAGCAAATGGCACTACATGGTCTTCCAAACATTGCTGAATATACCGTTGACCGTTCAAATTGCCCCCTTGAATTGTAACCAGTTCTGTATGAGCCTCTAGGGAAATGCCTGCCCACACCATTAAACCACCTTCACCAAATTGAACTCTCGGAGTAAAACAACATTGGTGATAACATTCACCAGCTTCATATCATAGACCACCCACAAAATAAATTCAACATTATAGGATAGGAAATAAATTCAACATTTCAACAACATTCAAAACAAAAAACACAAAACCAAAGCTAACAGTAAACAAGAAAGGACAAATAATTGTATTTATAAAATACCTGAATGCGATCAGTTTTATTTAGGTGAAACATCAAGGCCATTAAATGTTAGAATGAGTGAACATCAATCTTATATTAAAAATAGAGAATTTGATAGATCTCAAATATATAGACACGCGTAGGATAATGAACATAGGGTTTAATGGAATGATTTAAAATGTAGTCCTAAAAGAAACGGATGGTAAAAAAAGAAAAATCAAAGAAGCGGCTCTAATTATGCTAAATGAGGCCAATTGTGTAGCAAATTCCTCCTACTACATGATCTGGTTACCCATATTAAAAGATGAAGTTATTAAAAGGAAAATACCAGTATTAGTAAGTTAGTAACATATATAGGATACATTATTTATGTTTTTTAAATAAAAAACATATAAAATCAGAATTTGGTGTTTTTTGAAAGTAAACTAAATGCACGAAGAAATACTTACCATGTCGGGATAGTATGAGGTTTTTTTCCTGGTTTTTCCCTTATAATTTACTATGGAATCACCAACAGGAGAATTTTACTGTCATCATGGCATGTGTTTGTCTTTTTAAAGACAAATTACATGCTATGATTTTTTCTGGTGGATATTCTCAAGTTAAAGTTGATTTCATGCATGATATAAGGAAACAAGGTATGCTCACTAGGTGGACTCGTTTTTGCACATTTCTGCGCCGACCAAAATCCACCATCTTTTCAATATGTCCGTGCGTGTAGGGATGGTGACCTGATCCCGTACCAGTTACTTTGGAACATGTATTTTATTTATACTTGTGGAACTGATCCCTAACACCAATATATTATAATAAACGAGTACGGGTTTCATTGCATTTGTCCTTAATTTTTATCGTGCATTTCTCAACGTTTACAAAGCTTTAGATAAAAATATCAACAGATGACAATTGGCGTGAAGTAGACAAAACTATCGCCATTTTTTTATGAACTTTTTATACAATCTCTGAACAGTAATTTAAGTATTTGAAGTTAAACAGTCATTTAAATAACTATAAAGAAATCTAACAAAATACAAATAATGTTGTCGTTATGTTTAGATATCTATTAAACGAATGATAACAAACTGATTTCCAAACCAGTATTTTTTAACAGGTATATTTGTTTACGCGTATCAGTTTGACCTGATCCACAAAAATACTTGGATCAACCACCTCTACATGCTTGACGTCTGCTTTGTTTTGCATTTTTAACCTTACTTTGCAATGTATTGGAATTTAAAAGTAAATTTGTTTCGATCTTTTTAAAATTATTTTAGCAAGAGTCTGTTCAGATCATTTTAAATCTGAATTAATTGGATTAATGTAGAATATTAATTTTATTTTATTTAGTTTAACTACGATATTTTTTATCAAATTATTTACATATTTGAATTGCCGCCTTCAAAATGGCGGATTTTGGTCGTAAACGCGATTGGCTGTTCAAAATAGATGCGCGTGAGCATACCATGTTTCCTTATATCATGATTTCATGTAATCGAATGTACTATCTTACAAGTAAAGTCGTCTCAGGAAAGCAACTCAACGATATTGGCAATATCATTTTAAAGTCGTTTACTTCAAAATGTATAATGTATGTCTGAATTGTCAATATAAATGAGTCATATAAAATTAAATCATTGAAAGAATTTTTCACCAAGTAACAAAAAAAAACAAAATTTGTTCAATTTACTAATGTTTGTATTTTGAGAAGGATTTCCTAAATGGAAATTGAAACGCCAATAAACTTACTTTAAACTTTAATTGCGGCTTATTCCCATTTAAATAGTAATTACTTTAAAATGCCACAAGAAAATAGCTTTAGAACAATATTAAAATTAAACAAGTTTTTGATCTAAAGACCAACAAAAAACAAAAAATCTGAGTGTCCGCTTAATTTTGCACCCCAGGGTACTTTCATATATGATTGACCACTTGATTTCATTGCAAGATATTATTGTCTTAATATTTTTAACTAATTTAACGTTTAATCTCATATGTTTACTAATTAAAAGTGAAATTTGTTAGGATTCTGAAAACTAATTATTTATTAATATTTCTTACCTTTATTGTTTTATTTTTAGTATATATACTAGTTAATATGGGGTTCTGCCAAAAGTATACTAAAATGACTGTCTAATCTGTTACATCATAAATACTAGGTATTAAGAACACCGCTGCGCTGACCTTAGCTACACGTTTCTGTACTTTATTTAATGAAATTTTAACATGCCCCAAGTTAGCTTCTTCATGCATAAATTCTAATACAGAGCGGATTATTTTATAACTTTACCACGAAGCTACTTTAGTCCGTAATTCTATAAAAATATGTAATAGTGGAATATAACACCAGCGGTTAATAAATTGAACCAAAATTGAAGACGACAATGTAAATTGGAACGTAAAATAAAAGCAATATCTATATTTTTAGAAGCATAATAAAAACGAATAAAATTTACGAACAATATTTTCCTCGCAATAAACAACAATTCTCTTTAAAATAACACGCTGATATAATGAATTGATCTTTTCTATGATACAACCATATAATCGGTGCCTTCGATTGGTGCCACTTATAGTTACCCATCAGGTACGATTTTTAAAAAAATAATTATTTAAAATTTTAGAAATAATTTATTAAATGGAATGTATTATACATTAGAAAAATAAATAATATTTTAATAGTTGCAGTTTTCGATTCAGGTCGATCCATAGTCCACGCGCTGACACATCGAATTGAAGGTATGGTCTTATGGGGTCAACGGCTATAATTTCTTTATCTTTAGTTGGAAGTTTTCATGGAATTAAAATGACCTATACTAAAACAATTTTTAATTGAAGGTGATTACTTGGCAACATCGTACTTAACGAAGCCCTTAACAATAACTTTTCAACGAAATCGTATTGAAATTATCAATTTTGCAGAGGCGTACCAAAAAAAAATTTTAATTATTTATTTAAACACATCAGTAATTACGTAAAAATTAAATCTACGACCGAGTTAATTATTAAATTATCATGTCTCTTTTAACAGATATCTGATAATTGTCTAACAAAATAAAATAAAATTTTATTCTTATTAGAGAGTATCTAATACAGAACTTCAAAAAACAGAAAACTTTGGAAAATAATTTTTTTTTCATTAGACTAAAAACAATCTGCAATTTTAATTACACATCATTACACATCATTCTCTATTTATAGAATTGCTGTGTGCTGTAAACGTTATATTTGTTTTTTTTTTTAACTTAATTTGAAAGTTTGCTTGTGTTTATTTGTTTATATAAACATGAAAATATATTAATTATAAGCTAAACTATTATCATATGAATGCGTTTATATAGCAGTACATTTGTTTATTTCAGTAAATTCTCGAAATATGAAATGAAGATGGCACTAACTATTACAGGGGTAATAGCTTTGTTAGACGAAGACTCAGATTGTGAAAACGCTGACGCATTTAATGTGATTTATTTGCCGCCGAGAGAGTAGATTAGAAAGTTTCTGGGTTAGAAGACATTGATCTTCTTCTTCTTCTTCTTCCTTCTAGTTTGTAGGCTTTAAAGCCCGTTTCTTCTTCAATATTAGCTTCCTAAATTGTTTAAATTGTCGCACCATCTTTTTCTTGGTCTGCCAATACTTCTTCGTCCATTTGGTGACTTATCTCGTGCTATTCGTACTATTCTATCCTCCGCCATTCTACTGATGTGTTTGTTCCACTTTTGTTTTCGTTTTGTCACCCATCCATTTATGTCTTCTATATTCTTATGTTTTTGCTTCTCTCCCTATCCAACAGACTTCTCCTTGATATTCGTCGGAGTATTTTCATCTCTGTTGCTTCTAGCAGTCGTCTCGTTTTAGATGTGTCAGGTCTTGTCTCAGCCGTGTATGTTAATATAGGTCTAATTCCTGCTTTATAGACTCTTGTTTTTGTGTCTTGTCTTAGGTGTTTGTTCTTCCAGATTGTGTCATTAAGAGAACCCGCTTTACTTGCTTTTAAGCTTTGCTGTCGTACTTCTTCTTCAACATCTCCGTAACTAGTTATATTCTATTCCCAGATATCTAACCCTTGCTTCCGGCTTTATTATTTTCCCATCAATTTCGATTTTACACCGTAGTGGGTATTTAAATGTCATACATTTGTATTTTTCCGCTGATATTATTATATTGTATTTCTTAGCTGTTGTATTGAAGATATGTTTTAATCTTTAGAGCTCGTCTTCTGTCTCGGCGATTAATGCGGCGTCGTCTGCATAACATAATATTTGGATTTCTTTGTTCCCAATTCTGTTGCCATGTCTTTTACGTACTGCTTGTATTATTTCGTCCATTAATATATTAAAGAGAAGTGGGCTTAACGAGTCACCCTGTCTGACTCCGCTTTGTACTGGTATACACTGTGTTAGTTTTCCATTTATCTTTGCCTGTATTCGATTATGGAGGTAGACGCTTTCGATGGTTTGTATAATATTGATTGGTATGTTCCTTTTATACAGTAGGTGTAAGACGTCTTCGACTTGGATGCGATCGAAAGCCTTTGTCAGGTCTATAAAACATAGATATGATGGTCTTTTCTGTGATTTGTCTTAGTACAAATACGGCGTTTACTCAGGATCATCCGGATCTGAATCCTTGTTGTTCATCTGATAAAGTTGTTAGTTTATTGATTTTATTGTTTAGGACTTTTGTGGTAAGCTTAAGTGCGGTGTTCAGTAGATTTATACCTCTATAATTGTTGGGGTCTTCTTTATCTCCTTTCTTGACCATTGGTATCATTATGCTGTTTCTCCATGCGTCTGGTATCTTGCAGTGCAATATTAGTTTTTGTATAAGTTTTGTCATCTCTAGGGTTAAGCTTTCTCATCCGTATTTTAGAAGCTCGTTGGTTATTCCGTCTGGTCCTGGTGACTTTCTTTTTTTGAGTGAATTTATGACTATTTCTACTTCGTGAAAACTGATTTCTATTTCGTCTCTTAGTTCAGGTACGTTATTGTGTTGATTATTATTTTCCTTTGCTTTAAACAGTTCCGTCAGGTATCTTTCGCATTCGTTTGCTGGTATATTATTGTATTCCTTGAAGAGATTGATGATACTATTATTTGTGAAGAATCAATAAAATCGGATATTGCAGGTACATATGAAATGCAAGTGATTGGGAATTCTAACGATTCTGATTAAGATATTCCTCTGAACCACAGATAAAACGTCCAAAGAAAAAACCAGGCAAAAATAGTAAATCCAATAAAAATTTATCCCAAGTTGTAATAACGGATATTCTTTCGTGCTCAGTAGTAATTCAACATCAGTCTGATTGATATTTAGACAATATAAAAGCCAACCATGTAGGCAAGTCATATATTGAAGTTTTTTCACTCTTTTTGATAAAAAAGTAATTGAGAATAACCGTCACAATTTTGAAATAAATAACATAGATTTAAAAAAATTATTAGCATATGGATATTATTTGGTTTACAGTCTGCTTCAAGTTGATATGCATTGGTCAAAGGATGAGGATAAAGAAGTGCATATTATAAGAGAAAGCATGAGCCGACATAGATTTATAATTTTAATTTATAATAGTGAAGAAACCGCTACATTAGTGTCAGTACATGGGCGTCAATCTAAATTTGCTTACCAGATGAAATCAGATTCGACAATATTGGCCACATTATAAAAAGAGACGATAGTGTAAAAATGTAGGATGTAGAAAAGTAATACTATTTATTTATGTAAGAAGTGTAGAATTCATCTACAACCCGAATATTTCGAGAATTTTTACCTTAAAATTTAATTTACGTTTAAGATACAATATGTTTCTTGATTAAAAAATGTACTGTTTTCCTTAAAAATAAGAAAAAAATCTTTTTGGTTGTAACTTATTCCTAATTTGTGTTTTTAATCCAATCTAATAAATTAATTGTCAAATTTCTCTTTGTATATTGAGCGGCCGTTAAGAGTTTAATACTATATAAAGAATAAACTGGCCTCAAATTTACTTTACTTACCTCAAAACTATTTTAAAGTTAATAATAAAGTATATTTAATAAATATATTCCCAATAATACACTACGCCTATGCACATATGTATAAAATCTGGAAGATATCATATTTCATAAACTTCTATAAACTAAGATATCATATTTCTCTAATTAACATTCGTTCTAAAAACGTAAATATATATAGACCAGCAAAATATTGATAATTTTACCTATGTTCCAAACTATTCTATGAACTTGTCTCACTATACACTCGTGAATCGCACCAATTTATATTGTTACGAGGGCAAATTTATCTTACATGGGTTACAAATTTACATATTTACATGGGCGAAGCATACACAATAAAAATGACCCCGGTAAGAAATTACTAATGAAATTTTTCATGGTTGCCGCTACCGTTTAGTTCAATTTGTAGATTAGTCACCTTTAATTGAAAATTGTCCGACTATAGGTTGTGTCATCTTGACCTAGGTTGTGAAAGTCCAGTTTTGAGTTGTTAAGTATGTACTCGTATAGAGAGATCTATTTTGACTTTCTTTGAACTTTATTTTTCACCTTTCCCTGAAGATTTTTATCGGAGATTAGTTCACGTAAAATATACGGAGGATTAAAAAGCAGAATTTGTGGCGTAGACGCTTTGGCTTTCATTAGTTGTTCTACCATTTTGTTTTTTCTATTTTGCACCTTACTGGTTCTTCTGATATTTCTAAAATGTTTATTTTTTATTCGATAGCATTCTCTGTAAGTACTATTTATTTTCCAATATCAGAACTGCGTCATCTATATAACAAATTATTTTTATTTATAAAAGCTTATTGCACATGTCCGCAGACTGCTGTACCCATTGGATTTCCTCCTTGGAATCCTCCGCAGAATCTGTAGAACTCGACATTGTTTGTAAAACTCTTAACTAGACCGAAAAAGTGTAAACAGTTGTGACGGGTAGCTCTTCTGAAGCGACAGACTCAGTAACACACAGGTTGAAATAAAAATAAATCTATTAATTCTAACGTATGTACAAAAATAAAAATAAAATATATTCTATATCCCCGCCTGGATCTCGCGAGAGTGAATTCCCCGGCGGACGTCTGTAAAAGAAAAAAAAAATGATTATTACTAACAAAAAATGAAATACACCAATTCGATCGCACGCAGACTTATACTCACTTCCACCTTAGTTCAGCGGAAGCGCCAAACGCTCTCGCAATCAAAATATTCGATTGTGCAGATCCACGTTATACTCTGAGTCAAGAGTTGACGGTAACGTTGAATCCACGATACCCACGGGTTCTGCGTCATTAAGGACAGAGTATAATCCTCACTGCGGAAGTCTCTCTGTCCGGGTTGGCTCGCAGATTCAATACACTAGCGAGTCAGGGAGCGTTAGCCACAAGACTTATTTAGTCACTCGCTTTAAATAGACGCTCCGGACCCCACCTCGTCGTCTCGTCGTGGAAATGGATGCGTGATTATCGACACTCCCACGGTTCGAACTATTGAACGTTCAGCACATCGTTACACAGTTTAAAAAAATGATTAGCATACAGAGTGGTCACCTTCTTAGTAAATATAAAAGCAGACTATAAGAAGTATAAACATGCAATAAGTTCGATTAAACGCGCCGGTATGTGCAATCACCACGAAAAATATTTTTCAACCGAACTTAGATCAGACAGCGTGGGCGAGACTGGTCATAAGGTTTATAATTCAATATCCGATTAGGTTAGGGGATTCCCAACACATTGATTTTATAAGGGACTACGACTACGAGCTTTTTACTTACTTATTTAGTATTTGGCGATTTTTATTTCATTGTTAATAGTAGCGTGTTACATAATGCTGTTTATTTTTAAAATGGAAAAATTTCTTTTACATAAAAACAACAAGATGAATCCAGGTAAATACAACATATTAATTTTGAATTTCCAGTTTAAAAAAGTATGTATTAGCAAACGTTAAATCCGGTCCTGACAAATTTGGCAACGCCTTGTTGATTTGGCGCGCTATTTCTTCTCGTTGAATAGACCTTAGATCTATAGCGTCTGATAGTCGGAATATATCGAATGCCTTTCCCAAATTTCCTAAATCGACAAAGTACACGTAGACTGGTAAATTGTATTGTATAGATTTTGCAGCTACATGCATTGACTTGATTACAAAGACCCCACCTTAGAACCCCACAAAGACACTGCTTTTTAATTAACTTTATACGACTAATAATGCTTATAATAAACTCTTAAAATATTGGACATCGACAAAATATGTCTACTCTATCAAATAATAAAGGCATAAATTACCATTTGCTCATGGTTGTGCTTTTACATAATCTGATATTTCCGGATACTTTACTTTGCGAGATCTATACTTTTTCCAAACAATAATACCTCTTATTTTTACAGGGATTCGACCGTGCAAAAGGTGGCGGTATAGACCTAATCTCACACATCATCACTCGTCATTTGAAAATTCCTTGCTCAGTCCTTATGGGTGCAAATTTGGCAGGAGAAGTAGCGGACGAAAAATTCTGTGAAACCACAATAGGATGTAAAGACGTATCACTTGGACCTTTATTAAGAGATATCATTCAGACCGACTATTTCAGAGTTGTCGTTGTTGACGATGAAGATACCGTTGAAGTTTGCGGTGCTCTTAAGGTAAGCAGAAAATTATTGACTCTTAATGTAGAGGACAAGCTTATATCAATTTCATTTTATCATCATATCGCCATCACTTTTATTCACATTGATAAATTAATGATTCAACAGAAACATCCACTCTAGGGTCTAGGTCTCACATTTTCCTTTTTATTTTCTAGTATGTGTAATGCAATTTTTTCATTAGTTAAGTTTTCACTCCCTACTTGTCTATTCTTTGTCTGCTGCTTTAATATCCATCCGATGCCTGCTGGTGTTTTCAAACCCATTGACAACCCTTCAATAAAGGCTTGTCGACGGTTTCTAACTTCAAAATCTTGCTACACCTTTGGGAAAGTATGGTCTTGATTCAGACATGTTTCATCTAAATAGAGTTCTTCCTTCACACCGGTAGTCTTGAATTTTATTCAGGTAATGTCTCGGCCACAAAATAATCTCTTTCTATAAGAACATTGTTCCCACTTCTTTTTCTGTATCATTTTTGGTATCAAATGGTCGAAATTTATTTCTGTTGTGACTTTCTGAGGTAAGAATAAAATAATTGTTTGAAGATAATACCAAAAATGTTACATTTATAACGTTATAGGCATTTTAAAAATCTCTGTGGTGTGCCTACCTAAAGATAAGTTTCGATGGGAAGAATGTCATGAATTCGTTTAACTAATTAAAATGAAAACATTTTTCTTTTTAGAACATCGTAGCTTGTGGTGCTGGTTTCGTAGATGGTCTGGGTCTAGGAGATAATACAAAGGCAGCTGTCATCCGTCTGGGTCTGATGGAAATGGTCAAGTTTGTAGATGTATTTTACCCAGGCGGAAAACTGGCAACATTCTTCGAAAGTTGCGGTGTTGCTGATCTTATCACTACCTGTTATGGAGGTAGAAACCGAAAAGTCAGTGAGGCTTTCGTTAAAACGGGTAAAACTATTAAGGAGCTTGAAGACGAGATGTTGAACGGACAAAAACTCCAAGGGCCTTTCACAGCAGAAGAAGTCAACACTATGTTAAAGAGCAAAAATATGGAAAATCAGTAAGTAAATAGAAATTTATTATTTTAATAAAACTAGTCTAATTACAAAGAGAAAGCTTAATTTCTTAAAGTAATACTATAGCAAATATTACCCTACTATTGTTTGTGAAAACCTCTAAAATCACGTGTTCAAATCCTCAAAAACTTTAAGGATTTTAACGATGGACATACGTCACAGAACCAGTCATCATCGTTATTATCATGTAGCCGTTACTTTCCAGGCCTCCTTTAAGTTCCTCGATTCTAGACTGTCAGGATCTAGTTTCCTTCTTCTTCTCTCGGTGCCACATTAAATCACCTAACGTTGGCAATTTTTGGCAATATTAGCGAATTGTCCAGGGTTTTTAGCTAATCGAAATTGCGTACTCCTGTCCAATTGCGTATATTATCGAGCTATGAATAAAGCAGTCAATGTAACATTGACTGCTTTGTTTATGCATCCGTTAAAAACTGTAATTTTAATTAGTTGCCATTTAGAACCCATTCAGACAAGATCTGAAGGTCAGCAACAACCCATATTGGTAATCTTACGTTGCCATGCAAGGTATATGTTAAATACTTTAACATATCAACATATTTTCAACAAAATGTAACATATAACAAATTTTGTAACTTTTTAAGAGTTTTACCTGTATATTTAGTGGCTTAACTCATGTATACCTGGTAAGTATTTAACCACATTGATTTTTCAACCTTAGTCAAAATTCAATCTTTGCGTTTGCTTTCATCAAAGTGGTAATACTTATTCCAGGTAATAATACACCGATGATGGATTTTTAGGTTGAACACATTGTGGTGTAGCCTGGAAGGTTTTTTTTTTAATTATGTATCTTTTATAAAGAATGTTTAAATAAAACTTTTGTGATTCATTGTATACAGCTGACTACAGGAATTTCATTTTCCTTTTGAATCTGAGAAAGACATTACTCTCTATATCTATTCTAAACTTAATAAAATTATTAGGATTAAAAGCATTTATTTTTACTAATCAAAATTAAATTCTTCATCGCTGTCACTGTTTTCATACAAAATGTACCTCTCTTTCCCAATAGTCATAAATGATTTTATTCACATGTTGAATGATGTTTGGCCATATTTCAGGAGTGATGGTTAATGCTCCTTTCCACATGGCCAAACAATCATCTTTTGTTGTTCCATACCTACCTATATGTTGATTATAATAATTTTTTGATATCGCCCAAATATGCTCAATGAGATTAAAGGTACAGGGATACGGAGGAAGACGTAGAACTCTATGACCCATGTGTTGCTTACAGGCGTCTCGCACCGAGATGCCGAGCATTTCGGCGCAACCCAACTGGCCGTCTACACCGCCCAAACCACAATCCTGTTCTCCTTGGATTTTTTTTAACCTATTCTCTATCCTTCCATTTTTGGATAAAGGTCTCCCCCTGTTCTCTCCATCTTTCCCTATCTTGAACTGTTCTCTGCCATGTGGGACCTCCTTGTTTCCTGATGTCATCTTTCCACCTCATCTGTGGTCTGCCTCTTGATCTCTTTGCATTGTATGGACGCCACTTTCCGATGGCATTGTTCTATCGTTAGTCTTGGAGACGTTCATTGTGTCCAGCCCATTTCCATTTCAGTTTTGCTGCTTTATCGCGTCTACTGTCTTTGTTCTGGTTCTGATCCACTGGTTACGTTTTCTATCTCTATGTCTCTGCTCTGTAGGTGAGCACCGGTATTATATAGGAGTTATATACCGTGCTTCGTAAGTATAGAGGGATTGTTTGATTTTTTTTAGAACGTACGAAAGTTTGCCGAACGCTGCCCATCCCATTCTTACTCGTCTCGATATTTCGGCTGTTTGATTTTCTCTGTTAGCTCTGAATGCTTGTCCTAGATAGATATACTCATTTTCCTATTCTATTTTTTCTTTTTTTATTTTTATTGCCTCTTGGTCTTTCGTGTTTGTCATTACTTTTGTTTTGTTGAAGTTAATTTTTAGGCCTTTTGCAGTGATTTTTCATGAAGTTCATTCAGCATTAATTCCAGTTCTTGTCGTTCCGAGGAGATCAGGAGTATATCATCTGCATATCTAAGGTGATTTAGGTATTTTCCGTTAATACATATTCCTCTGTTTTCCCAATCTGTTGATTTTATTATGTCTTCGAGGGTCAAGGTAAACAGTTTAGGTGAAATTATATCGCCTTGTCGGACTCCTCGTTTAACTTTTATATTATCCGTTTTTAATTTGTCGTCCAGAATTACGGTCATGGTTGCGTTTTGGTAAATATCATGTATCAATTGTCGGTATCTTGAATCTATTCTACTATTGACCAGAGCCTCTTCAACCACCCAGTGTTCAGTGCTGTCGAAAGCCTTTTCATAATCTACGAATGCTAAGTACAGCGGAAGGTTGTATTCATTGGTTTTCCCAATTAAGATTTTAAGCGCATGTAGATGGTCGATTGTGCTGTATCCTTTCCTGAATCCGGCCTGTTCCACTGGTTGGTAGTTATCAAGTTTATAGGTTAGTCGGTTGTTTATTATTCTTGTGAAGGTTTTATATAGTTGTGACAAAAGGGAAATAGGACGGTAGCTGTTTAGGTCTGTTCGGTCTCTTTTCTTATGTATTAAGATTGTGTTGGCATTTCTCCATTGTTTAGGTATTTTACCTTCAAACAGACATTTGTTGAACAGTATTTTTAGCATTTTTTTTTATCGTGTCTCCTCCTTCTTTTAGCAGTTCCGCCAGTATTTTGTCCTCACCGGCCGCTTTACTTCTTTTCATGTCGTTTATGGATTTTTCGATTTCATCTTCAGTTATTTCTGGTAATACCTCTGAGCCAAATGAGTCTTGGATATGGGCTACCTATATTTCCAACTTCTTATGGTACAAATACACATAAATTAGAAAAGTTTCGCCTTTCGCATTTGTGTCGGGATCGACGCGCAATCTTCCCCCGCTCCGGTGTGCAAAACTCACTTTCTAGAGGTAGGTATCTGTCAGAGACATATCGTAAAGGAATATTGCAAAGGCATATCTCAAACAATCACGGATATTTTATTAGCGATATGTGTCAATGCAAATAAACAATTGGATTTGTTTATATTTGCTCGAAAATAAATCGCATTTCTGAAGTTTTTATTACAAAAACCTTACGACATTTTTATGATATACAAAGCGGATAAAAAAATTCTACAACATACTAACACTGTTTGAATCGAGAGACACTTTTTTTAAGGATTAGCGTTTTATAAGCATCCATATTCGTTGACACTACTGTAAAATAAAACTTTTATTGATTTAACTTTAATATATTTACAGGTTCCCCTTATTCACATCGATTTACAAGATCTGTGATGGTCAACTTCCTCCAGCGGAGTTTATCAGCTGTATCAAGAACCACCCAGAGCACATGTAAGTGTGCGTTGTTGACTTTGTTTTGATCAGAGTTTGCGTATATACGAGATTTTCCCTTATATTTATCATCACGAAATTTTCGTAAACACGTCATTTTTTAAACAATGCTCAATAATTTTTTGCCTCTGCTAATTTCTAAACATAGGGATTAAACCTCGTATTTTGTTATGACTTGTACAAACGAATTTTGTTCCTGTTTGGTATTTTAGTTGTCGGCACGATTTTGTTATTGAGATCTGTCTTGATTATATGTTTGCTTAAAGTTAGTTTAGTGTTGAATATAACCAACAAGAATATGAGGGTCTAACGATACATAATAAAAATAGTATTGCACGAAAAATGAAATGAACACATTACTTAGATAAATAAGTCTATACAAATCTAATAATCTTGATTTATTTAAAATAACTACTAATGAAATTAAAACAATAAGAAATTCGAAAAGATCAAAGGTGATTTTTATCCGCAGGTTTTAATAAATCTATAGATTATTGAAATTTTAAATTATATGCTCGAGAGATTGTAGTTATTCTAGCAAATCTGCAGCTATTATTTCTTTAAACTTACTTTATCTAACATCTGCGCCAGCTATCAAATCTTACCAAATCCTCCAAGGAACGGTTTAATTTAAATGAAACGATCATCAATTTTAGGCACAACCAGTTATATTCCAGTGCTATCCATTTTCTACTATTTTGGATTATTCTAGTAGTTTTATTTCTTGTTAATTTCATAGTCATAGGTGTAACAGTTTGAGTATTATATTATAGCAATGAATAACAAGATTAAAACATGAACTTTTTTTTTAATTGCTCAAAAATAATATAAATAAAAAATTGAAACTGAATCGGCTTGTCAAAACTAACTGACAATTGAGCTAAATTTCTCCATAACTAAATTTTGAATTTGTTACGACATTCTCCTTAATTTTACTCATTGAGTTAGAATCTATGGAGAAGCTGTGTGTATTAAACATCGAGTTAGAATCTAGATTTTAACTCGATGATCTTACCTTAACTTTTGTTCCTGTCAAAATCACTTGTCACTTGTCAAAGAACAAATCCAGATGTAGCGTAAAATAACTGCAACGGGAAAAGAAATAATACTTTTATAATAAAAACCATGGATAAAAGTCACTTAACATTATATGTAAAATAAAAATATTAAAATGGATAATTCCAATATGCGTAGGAATAAATTAATATTTGGAATAAACAAATTAGCGAAATGTTCCAATATTTAATATTCTTATAATGTATTCATAAATAAAATAGTAAAATATTGCGATTGCGCAAAATTTACATTTTATTGTTAATTTAATAATAAATACTGCAATCTATGAGGAACAAAAATTTTAAAACTTGTGGGAAAGTAGGCAAAGCATTTATTAAATGAAAAAAAATATATAAAGTTCGTAGAATTATAGGATATATTAAAATATATGAAAAAAATTATTTGTCTCGAAGTTGTAAGCTATTTACGATATGTTTGAACAATATTTATTACTAGTATTTAATGTGTGTCTATTTCACGTTCGAAAACATACCTGTTTCTAGCATCCCAGTTTTATAGTCTTTTAAGAAAATAATTCTTAATATTTCCTTTAAAAAAATTTTTCTCTTCACATTCAAATTGAAAATTGTTGTGAAAACTATACGGTACATTTTTTACATTATTCGATTTTATAATTTTAAAAGTATGGCAAGTTTGCACAAAAAACGATTAGCTATTTCTCTTCAGCGATTTGTTTGTCGGATCCATGTATCCATATACATGACTCCTATCAGAACGACTATATTTCAACCACTGTTCTAAGGTAGAGGTCCTCAAACGTCAATGATTGTTTGAGTAATATCTGATGAAAAACGTGTTGCTTCTCGCTGTTTGACTCACATGATTCTTACTTTGTCCGCAGCGGTCCTAAATAGTGTCATGATGCTGATTCCATTCAACTGACCGAGGTTCTTGAAGCCAGGATGTTCTTCGTCGCACAGGACCACGTTTTCATTATATTTTACCCTGAATAATTACAAGTAATAATTCATACTTAGGATTTCTCATCACGTGCGCAAGGTACTCCAATTTTCTACTTTTTAAGGTATTCAGTAGCTCCTTTCTTTATATACTTACAATCAATACAAAGTCGGGTACAAGTCAACTCATCGCAATTAGCATACACTCGGAAATAGACAAAATTATCACCGCAATGACACCAGGGATTTAAAAATAGACCCGGAGAGATTTGCAAGCTGATCACTGGCCTACTTGCACCCCGTGGTAGGTAAAAACCAAACAATGCTTGCAAACTGCCAAGGTTTGATCATTTGAAAGAATAATTCAAGTCTAGATTATTAATATTAAATGCAAATGCTTCGCATTGGCTGGCGTTTGGTAATCCCACTAAATTCTATTGATAGCTACCTAAAACTATGCGAAAATAAAAAATTTCTCTTCATTTGCCCCTGTTTCTTTAACATGGATATTGAACTGCTCGAAGTGAACTAAACAAGAAGTAGGGCAGGTAACAGGCAATCTTCTGCTTTAGAAACCAGCAGCTTGAGTTAAAAATTCTGGTGATGAGTTCATGGGTCTCCAAAGGATGCTGGTGATCAGTTTGCTATATCTCATAGGGTCTAATAATTTTATGGGGGGTTATAAGGTTATGAGTTCGTACACGTCCACAAAGGTATACAATCAATTGTGGTTAATCCCGTTTAAATACAATATTTAACTTAAACATGCCACTAAAAAACAGTTTCAAAACTTTCTAGAGATTTTCTAGAAATAATTTTTTAAAAAGAAACTTTCTTCTTTGATATGCATCAATAATAAAGCCAAAGCTTTTGATGTCCCGATAAAAACAGAAAGAAAAGTATAAACCAGTCAGAAAGATTAATCAATTGATTTTTAAATAGTTCCCGGTTATCATTTTTTTACGTATGGGCATATCAGTGAGTAGTTCAAAAAATGTCACATGATTCCTGATTCAAGTACCAGTTCTACTGGGATTCCATCTGTTAATATACATGTGACCTAGAAATTAACATTGATTCTAAGGGGAATCAATGTTAATTTGTAGTATGATCTTAGGATTTTGTCTTTACAGAAGTTTTCCTTATCTCAGCACAAAAAACAGGATTATTATATGTTCTGATGTAAATTTGTTTTCCTACTGTGGGAAGGTGAAAGTTGACCCATTATTCTAAATAAACTTATTATCAAACATGTTTTAAATGGATGTACAAATTATCAAAGGCACCGTAGGAGCTTCTCTTAAAAAATTAGGTGTTAAAATGTACTTAGGAAAGTAGAGAGTTATTGAAATGAAGAGATATATAAAATTTATCTAGTTAGAATGTTCCATTTTGATTGAATTTTATGAATATTTTATTTTGTTATCATTATTAAAAATTGTTTCATTTTAATATATATTTTTGTATTGTTGAAGTTTATATATGAGATTTTAGAAATCTGTATATTTTTCTTATGTTGTTAATTAAATTAATTAAGTTTACTTAACAAGTACAAGGTTTTTACAAGTTAGTACTTTTTCGCTCTGTCACTTTCTCTTTTTGTAGTATAAGTTCTTGTGCATAATTGAAGCCAAGATTTTTAATGGCTATTTGGGATAGGGACCAAAATGGGCAAAAATAAAACAACATCGAAGTTTATAATGGAAGTTGCTCCTCATTGGCTGAACAGCGGATATTATTCCCCATGCGAGTGAGCAAGACAACATAATAAAGAATAGTATGACGAAAGGCAGCACAGCCTCTTTTAGCAACTAAGTACATGCTAAAACATTTATGTATACATCAAAAATACGATGTACAAATATATTTGTAAAAGACTGTGATTTAGTTTATATTTAAATACGATGCTGATATCGTGTCATATTCTGTCATTGTCAGTATATCTTATTCTTATAACTACTGGTAACTTTGAAAGCTTCGTAATTGTTCTAATCGTTATCGTAAATATTTTGGTAATATCAAATTGTTATACTTGATATCTCCATTTAGTGAACAAGATTGAAGTTAAATAATCTTTGCCAGTGGTTGTGTGACTGTATCATCTTTGGATATCTCCTTGGATATCAGTTACCTATTACAAATACTCTGTGTTTGGCACTTTTATGATGTTATTTGGCATATAAAATGTCTCTTCACAGTATATACCAGCTAAGCTTTAAAAGGACATATCTTAACCACCATTTACCATTTACCAAACAATTGGAAGCTCAACATTCATTCAGTGACACATCTGCGAGATGTTAGTCCTGCTAAGTTTGAGGGTTACCTGTTATTCAAACAGATTTGCGCCTTCACAGTTTCGTGGCCATGATTTGCATAACTAATGCTGCTAAAAAATGTTGGCTCTTTTTAAAAATATGATCCACTAAACTTCATATTAATTAGCGTTCTCTGTAACTATTTAAGAGTTGTTTTAAACAATTTGTGAGAAAGATAAACAGAACGAAAAAGGAATTAAATAGAAATTATACAGACAGATATTGAAATATTAACAATAGCCTAATAAAAACATTTAATGTTGATTCATATATTCATATAAAAATAATGCGACATTTGAAACAAAATATATTTTTTCACAAATACTATTGCTTTTTTTAAATATTTTATTGCAAATTTTTAAAATACTTTAGTGGCAAATTTAGTGGTAATTGTGATACCAACAAGAATTATAAAACTATTGTTATTTCTAGATTAGTTTTAATATGTCTTTATAGTTATTTATTATCGTTCATTCCCGAAATTACTTTTAAAACGGCATACTGAAATAACTAATAAGAAAATTAGTATTTAGTAAAAGCAAACAATTTAGATCTACTTGTCAAAATACATATCACAACGAACATAATTACTTTCCATTTTCAAACACGTCCTGAATGCTTCAATAAAATAATTTTAATACATTTTCCCTCCAAAGCAGTGCTTTTTACTGTATTTTATCAGCATTATTTTGTATAATTCACGTTC